CGGCCCACCCTGACGTTTACCTCGCTGCTTTGTAGAGGTGCAACATGCAAAGGTCACACGGCACAGAATGCGCCAGGGGACTATCAATGTTTGACGGTGTGCTCAGTGAGCGAAACCCTACGTGGCAACACGCGCTGTGCCCCTCATGGACTTTGAAGGACAGTGGATTACGTGCTTCACTTACCCAAGCGCTCTTCGTACAACCGCATCTTGCATCATAGCACGAAATTTGGCTTGGCAAGTGCATACATGGCGCGCATCGAGGCCAATGCGCGGAGGGCCAGCCTCGACAACAGAGTTGGGTGGACACACACAGAGTGTTTGTGGTGGAGGTGCTTAGGGGTTGCTTGGTGCAGTACAGCGAACCTGCAGCTGCAACGCATGTACAACAGTGAGGGCACTCTGGCACTTGGGATACGGGCACGGCAAAAACTTGGTTGAGAGCTGATATGGCAAAAAGCAAAGGTGTACAGTAAGGGGCAAATACACGCAGGGGATGCACGTATCAGGGCAGGGTTAAGCCTGGCGGTCCAAGTGCAAGGTACCGTGCGTGAGAGGTTGAGGATAGGGGCGACTGCTGCCGTGTGTTGAGCTGTGGTTTGGGGAGTGGGGTGGTTGAATGAGCGGTACGGCTTCGAACGACCTTTGATTGCTGCCGAGGCCTGCAACCCGTCACGGTTAGCGGCGATAGCGCCCACATGCTGTCTCGATTTCCATTTGACGGCAGCACAGCCATTTGTGCCACAAGGCCAGTGCCCATGCCTGCAATCCGCGCGCGGTGTGCAACCCATGGACAGCGAGGCACGCACCGAAGCCGTGCCACACACTGGCAAAGAGCACACTCGCCACCTTCAACGAAGTTATCTCACATCAACCGTATAACCGCAAGCTTACGTTGGCAAAAACATAGTACTCTTGGTGGCGGCCTGTGATCGCCCTCTTGCACTCAATGAGGGAGAACCCCGCAGGAGCGTGCGTGTGGCGATTGGTGGGCTCGCAGCAAGCAGCCCCCGCCCCAGTTGCAAGGCTGCGGTCCTGGCGGCTGAGACACCGCCGATGGGATTTGGTTCTGGCATCCACAACATGCAGGCTGGACGCACAGTTGTGCGGCCAAGTAAGAATTGGGTGAAAGCATGCACCACTCACGCACATTGGTGTGCCCGGTCCTCTTGTGCTTGCCACATCAGACACAGTGGGTGCATGGTTGACCTGGAAACCAGCATCAAGCCACATGCGCTTCACCGATGACGTGGGAAGGCGAGATGAAAGTGGAAGGACCAGCTCAGCTGCACCGCAGCAGGCACCGCCGCCACCCGGGCCGCCCACGCGCGCGCCGGCGCTGCGGCGGCGTCGACCAGGCGCGCTGCAGCATCCGCACCATGGGGCTCGAGCAGCGCGGCCGCAACCGCGTGCACGCTGCGGGCGGCCATGCCACCTCGCACCGCGGCCCACACCAGACGCTCGGCCAGCGGCTGGCCCCCTGTGTTGCTGGTGGACTGGTGGGGGCGCTGCTCTGCATGCGGGACCGCGTCTGTCGTGGCACTGTCTGTAGGCAGCCGTGGCAGAGCTCGGTCCAGCGCCGCGGCCACCGCCTTCACCCTTTGAGGCTGAGCCAGCCTGTCCCAAGCAACGGCCAGCGCCGCCAGAGTGCCGGGTGACAGCACTGTGTCCATCAGTGACGCCACTGCCAACAAGTCCGCCGCCGGCCAGGGGGCAGGGAACGCGCCGCTTGCGGCATCCAACAGATCTGCACCTGCGACCGCGGGCGGCGGGCCTGCCGGCCTGGCAGCCTCAACACAGAGAGCTGTGCGCGCCTCAACATGTAGCCCTTGGCGCACGAGCGCCAGGCGCGCGCGTGCCGGGAGGTGCAGACCCGGCCGCACCAGCGCAGCTGCCGCATCGATGGCGCGCCCGAGGCGCTCCGCGCTGGCCACACCGCCCAGCGCATCAAACCAGGCCGCCAGGCGCCAGGGTGGGAGTGCGGTCTCGAGGGCGGCCTCCCACTCAGCGGGAGCGGGGGTGCGGAACGCTGCGGCGGCGTGGCCTGCGCCCTGGCGCATCTGCTCCTCTGAGGGCAGGAGCCCCGCGAGCTGTGGCAGGGCGGTCGCAAGGGCGTCCAGGCGCTCAGGGGTCAGGGCCTGCAGGCACAGCGTTAGTTGAGGGTTTGCTGAGCGGGCCCACGGGGGACCTGCGTGCGCATCGCCAGTCACTGTAGGTCGGCCGGCTTGCTGGCAGAGGCCCGATTGTTGAGCTTGCCGAGAGAACTCCAGAAGACAAAGCAACACGGGGGCCGCTGACACGTTGGTAAGCTTGCAGCCCCCTGACCAGCGAGTGTGAACCGGATACCCTGCAGGGCGGTGCATCAACGCAGGCGCGGCCCCTCACCTCAACGAGGGCCCCCACACTGCGCTCCAGCCGCCGCGGCGGCATCACTGCCAGCGCAGCGCGCCCCCCGTACGCTACGCGCTCCTCCGTGATTCCCCCAACCAGCGCCGCCGCCACCTCAGCCACGAGCTGCGCGGGCACGGCGCGCTCCAAGCTGTCCAGGGTGCGCAGTAGTGCAGGGCGCGCGCCTCCTGGCAGTGCGGCCGCGCGGGCAATGATGTCACGCAGTGTAGGCAGTGCGTCTGGCAGGCATGCCTCCACTGCATCCAGGTAGCTGCGGGCATTAATGTTTTGTGGGGGGAGGTTGAGCCAGGCAGGGCCTTCGGGGTGCGTGGACTCAATGTGTTGCACACGGAATGCGACCAGATTCAGATCGGTTTCAGGAGGGGTGTGCAGCAGGTGTGTTGTGAGGGGGGAGTGAAGATTGCCTGGTGTCGGTGCTCAGCTTCAGTCGAGCTGTGGTTGCTGGCAGTAAACCTTTATAAAACTGGCCCCATCCTCGCGCCGGCGCCGCCAGCGCCAACCACCTGGGCTCAAACCCGACCGCCCACCAAAACCCTGCCCTTGCGCGCCCCACCGACGCACCCGTCGATGCGCTCTGGCGTCCAGAACGTGCGCAGCGCCATGACCAGCTGGTTCACAGCGCACTGCGGCGTCGCGCCCTCCCGGCCCGCCTGCGCGTCCGCCGCCGCGGCCCGCGCGCTGGCGGCCAGCAGGTCGTCCCACACCGCGTCCATTGTGGCCGTGGGGTCACCCAGCAGGTCTAGGGTGGAGGTGGGCGTGCCCAGCGCCGACTCAATAGTGGCCGCGGGCGCTCCCACCGCCGCCAGGCCGCCGTCCCAGGTGGCGACGGGGGACCCGCCGCGGCTCTTGGCAAGCCGCCGCGCGTCCCTCCAGCCGCGCCGGTGTGCCTCGATGCCCCACTTCCCGCCGCGGCTGTTGGCAGCGACATACTCCCCATCAGGGGACGCCGGCCGCCCGGCGCGGCGGCGGCGCACGGCGCACGGCGTGAGGACCGCCGCGGCGACATCCGCTGCCGCCGCGAGGCGGCCGGGCGTGAGGGCGTCCCTTGAGAGCGCGTCGAGCCAGGCCACCGCGTCTGCGTCGACCAGGGACTCCATTGCGTCCATGACTGTGTAGACGGCCGTGTGGCGGTCAATGTGGTCCAAGGTGGCCACCATCCAGCAGAGGTCATCCTTTTTTTGGGGGGGGGGGGAGGTAATGGGCACGTGTGGCAGGTGTGAGGAAGATGACGCGAATGGTTGGGGGTTTTGGTGCGTAGGGGAACGTGGCCTGTAGCTGATGTGGATGCCGGGCTGGCTGGTGAAGGGGCGCAGTGGACACAAAGTGCTGTGCTGGCTTGCAACCAGGCGGCAAGAACAAAACGTCCCAGGAATGAGAATGGGTTGACTCTGGGCCCACAGACAAGCAGTCGACCCTCTGGGGGTCCACACAGGGCTGGCAGCGAGAGGATGGCCTCGACGGCAGAGGGTGCATTGGGTGCCACTGATATCAAAGTTGGTGTGTGTGCAGACTCCAGCTTCGGTAAAGTTCTGGACCTCCCACCACCACCCCACCCCCACCTCTCCCAGTGCGTTGTCCACGGCGTCGATGACGCCCCTCACGGCGCGCCCCAGCTCGGGCTCGCGCTGCATCATGGCCGCGCCCTCGCGGTGGGACAGCAACGCGCCAACGAGGCCGGCCTGCCAGAGAGGGTATGTATGGGGCAGGGTCGAAGGTGTTTTTTGGGGGGGGGGGCTGACAGCAGCAGGTGAGTCTCTCTAGGGGCAGACTGAGAGAATTGGGATGTATTCTGTGGGACAGGAAGGCAGCATGCACGCTGGAGGCCTACCGCGCGAGTCAATTCAAAACAATTGTCAATTTGCGAGGGATGATACCAGAAATCACTGTCGTGATTGTGGGAATTGGAAGAGTCTGGGGTCAGCCCAGCTGTTGGCTATTGTCCGCACACTGCCCTTCCCGTCGCTGTCTGCACCGCCTTGCTGTGTCCCCTAACCTTGCACATCCACTCTGCCCCGCGTACACACACATACACACACTCACCACCCAGGGCCTGTTGATGAAGGACCGCCAGTCGTCGCGCAGGAAGGGCCTCTGGTCAACCAGCTGGTTGAAGCGCTGGGAGGAGGGGGCGGCGGCACGGGTAGCAAGCGTGAGCAAGCCTGGTGCAGGGGCACCGTGAGGGTGGCCGCTGCGGCCGGCGGCCTCGCTGCAGGTGCCCACACCCGGCAACCAACTGCTGTACACAGGTAGCGAATCGTGCAGCTCTCCACCCAGATGAAACAGCCGAAGAAATGCGTGGTCTTCTTCGGCGCTGAGGATGCATTACTACGCATACCCACTAAATGAGAGTGGCTGTACCACGTCCCCAATGGTTTGTCAACCCACGCACTCCCAACGAGCTGGCTGCTAGTATTGGGGACCATGCGCATTCGTTCTGTACAGGGGGTTGTACACCACCTTCAAAACCAGACACCCCCACCGGACCCCATCTGCCTGCCTTGAAGGACGAGGTTTCCTGGATGAGCTCCAGCACCGTGGGACAGGGCGCAGAAAGCAGCGGCGTGGCCGGCAGCGAGGCGGGCACCGACGCTGGCGGCGGCGGCAAGGCGGGCGCCGCTGGCGCGGCTGCCAGCAGCGCGCATACTGGCTGCAGCTTGACTTCTTGCTCGTGCGTGTCAACGAAGGACACGCCGCGGGTGGCGTCATGGGTGGCCCGGCGCGGGACCACTGCCTTGGCGCGACATCGCCATGCTGACCTGGAACGGTGTTCACCACCCGTCGTGACTGGGGTTGCCGCCGTCCCCCAGGGCAGCAACACACTAGAGTTCATACCCGTCTCAAATTGACCGCTGCACAACGTCCAGTTTCACTTTCTGGCTCTCAATGGCCCCTCTTGATCCGCATGTTTCATCTCGGGACTTGCCCGTGAGGGACGCACGAGGTCCTCTCAAATGTAGTGTGGGAAATATGTATGTCAATGGTCACTGTCGATCACTTCGATCACAGTTCACCAGGCGCCTGCGGCGACCAGTAATTAGTGTGGCAGGAATACACATGCAACCATGCTTTTCAACATCCACACCCTGCTTGGGCGAGATTTAGCAAAGCTTACTGGATATATGAAACGTCCTGCTGGCAGCCCTGCTGGGGGAGGTGAACCAAGCAGCGAGAGAGGGGAACCGACCTGGTTGTTGCTGTGGTATGACACAGCAGACGGCCCACTGCTGCCGTGTGTCTCGCGCCCGCGTTCGGCCAAGACTTCGTGCTGCGATGCCCAAATTTCTGATTACACCGGCCTTGCGTTATCTCATGTCATGAGATAACGCAGCCAGTGGCAGTGCCACTACAGCACAACTTGCAGCTCTTGGCTTGTCAGTGACTACTCGCCCTTAGCTGCACAACAGTGACTAAAGCACGACACTGAAACGGCCCAAAAACGCCACACAAAGGCCAAAGCCAGATGATTTTTCAGGTGAATATGGTCGGATTTTGAACAAGAACTGATGCCCAAGTCGCAGAACCACAAGCACCGGCGAGTCCTGCTTACGAAAGCTGAGCACGATTCAGCAGCCGCCCTGCTGGACCCCGCCGTGGTGCAGACTGTGGTGGGCCGCCCCTGCACACATAATGGGGAATTGTAAGAGAGCCTAAAACAACCATTGTTTTGCCGATGCAGCCGGCAGTGGCGCGCTGCAGAAACTTGCGCTCTCCTTATGCACACCACCTGGGCTCAAGTTACGAGCACACCCCGCCTCCCTGAGTCACTGATGCATGCGTTGTTCCTCTGCCGTTCCTCCGAACCTGCCGCAGCGGCTTACCAAGGACATTGTAGCTTGTCCTCTAGGTCTCGCTTGGTCCCGGAACCGTCGTGCCCAAACATTTGTGACATGATTAGTTGCGTTTTGTGATTAATATAGCACATTGATCTGAGTGTGCGGTTCACAGGGCGGCCGCATGAGGACCACCCAAGCTCCTCATGTTGCTTGCCGATGCGTGGTAACGGCCCTCTGGCAGGCAATCTTATGTGACAACACGACGAGTGTGTGTGCAAAGATGTAGGCTCTGTGCACATGAACCTGCCGGGTGGATTATGCAGACTTGAGCATGGGGAACAATGACGCTCGGCATGCCGAGTGCCATTGCACCGCCACCATTCATCCAGCACACCCCAAGCATCGACAGCAGGGCTTCCGTACGCAGCAGACTTGCACGTGTGCGTCAAGCTTCCGGCTAGATGGAAACTGAAGTGAAAAGCACGGGTGCATCAACCTGCGGTCCTGTCGACACGGCGCTTGCAACATACACATGATGGCGCCACAGCTCCAACAACCGCAAATGTTCAGCCTTGCACTTGATATGCATTTACATGTGTGCTGCATGTGCAAGCAGCCCTGGTCAAAAGGCTGTCGCGCCGCACACATCCATTCCGCTACAAGCCACCTGAGACTGTTGCCAGTTGTTTGAAACCGTTCTTGAGCACAGAGCACCAACATCGCAGCAAGGATTCCCAAGCAGCAACGATTGTGAAGCAACCCAGAAGAACAGCTTCATAAACATTTTATAGCAAACTGTATCCCCGTGCATTCCATAGCTTGCAGCCTGCGTTCGGGCGTCCAGGTGACGCCTTGGATCATTTGACCAGCCACTCCGTGCTGAAGGCAGCAGAGGGCGGCTCATATGCCGGCCCAGTAATTATAAATACTTCGCCAGCAATTTCGAAAACTTACCACTTTTGGCTGCCATTTTCACGCATCCACCTGCATGGGGGCAACCCGAACTTTATCACCGAGCACTTTCGTCCCACCCAGCCGCGCGCACACATTTGATTGACAAATCAATAAAACAACAGCCTGTAAGATAGACATTACGCGAGCAGCGGTGATCTCGTGCAACCCACAACAGCTGCAGCAACCCTTGCCAAGATGTTGGCCTGGTTCTCATCGCTCCTTGACTGGCTACGGAGGTGGGACTACATGCGACAGTCTGTCGTTGCACCGCACCTTGCGTCACGCAGTTTGTGACACGCTGTTGCCCAAGCGCTGCGGCGCCGTCGCCACCCCGCAGCGCACTTGGGCCTTTGCTTGGCAACCTTCCGTGGCAACTAAGTGATGCCATACGCGACTGCACTGGCATGCCCGCGCTCCTGCCGCAGCCTGTTTTTTCACCGGGAGATGGAGCTGTCACTGATTGGGCTGCAGAACGCGGGCAAGAGCTCGCTGGTGAATGTGCTCACGACGGGGTCCTTCCACGAGGACATGATCCCCACGGTGCGGCAAGGGGACGCCACGGACCAACACATGAATGGCGCAGACGTGCTGCTGCCAGGGGGGCTGCGGCAGCGCAGTACGGAGCTGGAGCAGCAGGGTGCCAAGCGTGAGCGGCGAGGTTGCAGCGAGGCACCAGCACAACTGCAGCCCGCAGCGGCTGGTCCTGTTATGGACCCCAAACCTCACTATCCGTGCGGCCTCAGGTGGGTTTCAACATGCGCAAGGTGACCAAGGGGGCCGTCACCATCAAGATGTGGGACCTTGGAGGGCAGGTGCGAGAGCGGGTGTGATCAAGCATGTGATGTGCGCACTCACCATGCTCGGATATGTGTATGGTTGGGCCGTTTGGCAGTATTGAGATATAGAGGGATGACCTGAGGCTAGTGTACAATCTTCAGTATAAGGAGTCAGGCCAGCCTGCGACGCTCCAAATGCAGTCCGCACAGGTCTCTCGTCGGCGTTGCGCCGCGGCCGAGGACCTCCGCGCAGACGCACGTTCGCCTCCACCCCAAACCATATCCCCACCTGTGCCGCCACCAACACGCCCCGCCCCCCGCCCCGCACTGCAGCCGCGCTTCCGCAGCCTGTGGGAGCGCTACTGCCGCGGGGTCCAGGCCATCGTATACGTGGTGGACGCAGCGGACACTGCCTCCGTGGAGACAGCCGCAAAGGTGGGACGGGCTGGAACCAGGGGCGATTACACAGGAACGGGGCGCCAGGGGCATGCCCGTCCTCGTCTGAATCTGTGTACATACATCAGTGCGAGGCTTTTATCCTTGCGCAGCGCAGGCCTCCCCTACGGCGCCCCTCCCGACGGCCGTCGCACCGCCTTCCCAGGAGCTGCATGCACTTCTGGAGCGGCCATCCCTGGACGGCATCCCCTTGCTGGTGCTGGGCAACAAGAACGACCTGCCAGGGGCACTCACCACGCAGCAGCTCATAGAGAGACTCAACCTGCAGGTTCGCGCATTTGCATGAGCATGCATGCGCGTGCGTGTGCGTGTGCGCGTGCAAGTGTGTGTGTGTGTGTGTGTTCGTGTGTGGTATGTGTTCTAGCGTGCGCACTCGCGTACGCTTGGGCCCGCATGTGTCATCAGAGGAGAGGGCACGCGGTGATTGTGTGTGGGCTGGTCTGGTGCGGTCTGGATGCAACAGCAGAGGCGTGCGCGAGGTCTGTTGAGCGGGCAGGCATGCCAACGCTGCGCCTGCCCCCCCCCCTCCCCCTGTCCACTCCAGTCTGTGTCTGACCGCGAGGTGTGCGTCTACTCCATCAGCTGCAAGTGCAGCACAAACATTGACATCACGCTGGAGTGGCTCACCAAGCACGCCAAAAAGTGATGCGCTGCGTGATCGGAGCGTCCCCTGGCGGGGCTGGAGCAGGGCCTGCAGCTGTAGAGGGCGTGCTGAGGGGCCGCGGCTGTTTGCGGTGGCGGGCCCAGCACCAGGCACCCCTGCCGCTTTCTCTTGATTTGCCTGTTGGGAGTGCAGGTGCCAGAGCGGTCATCGCACACGTTTACTGCATCGCTTACTTATGTTGCAATCGCCTTTTCATCTTTGTGCCACACTGCTATTTTATTCTTAGGTAGTTGTCTGAATTGTCGCACTTGCCGTGCGGCGGCAGTCTTTCCCCGGTCACAATTAGACTTATCTCCTGGGCAGATGGTTCTGCTGCAACGCATCCAACTTGAGGCGCTCCTTGGGCACCCATGGCAGACGACACCCTGTGTAACGTGTCCTGCGGCTCCCTGATCAACTCCGGCTGTTGCTGGGGAGGGGGTGGCTGATATCAAATAGCTGGGCCCAAAGGTCGTGTTACAGCACACTCATCACACGCTTTCCGCTGCATGGGAAAACGCAAATGCAAGGCCATGGTCCAAATCATGCTTTGCAGTACTCGTCATCGTTCAACCTGAGAGATGGCCGGCGACCTGGGGCCACGCGGCATCCCCAACAGAGGTCCGCCAGGACGTCATCCACCAGCCATGCCCCTCTCAGGGGCGCCGGCATCGCGCGCCAGCCCTCCCCGCAGCCAGCCCTCCCGTGGCTGCCCGACGGCGGGCAGCCGCCAACGCTCAGCCGGCAACAGAGAGGCCTAGGTAGCCTGGATCACAGCGCAATCACCACAAGGGGGGCACTCGGCCCCGGCCCAAACCCCTACGCCCGGCTGCGGCACGCAGGAGCGGACGCACGGGGCCATGCGCCCCCCCCCCATCAGGCGGCCAGCACCCGGTCCTCCTCGCCCGCCGCGGCCGCCAGGCACGGTGCGCCTGCGGCAGCCGGGGCCGTCGCGCCGGCCCGGCCCGTGGGGTGTGGGGCGTTTACCAGATGCCGATGGCCTTCCAGACGGTGAGGGCGCTGCCTGTCCAGACTGCCAGGTAGTACACCGACAGGATGAAGCCCAGCTTGAGCCAGTCGGCCTGGGGCGCGGGGGTGCGCAGAGGCGGGGGCGGAGGGAAAGAGGGGCGGTGAGGGAGGGAAGGCCGAGTGTGCAGGCGCGACTCCCGGAGTGCGAAAGCACAACTGAGGACAGCATCTAATTCCTGTGCCTAAGGCCCCCTTGAGCCTCTAACATCCCCCCCTCTCCCCCCCCCACCTGGTTGACGTAGCCGGAGCCAAAGTAGGGGGGCGCGCTGCCGATGCCGTAGGTGGTGAGGCAGCCCATGAGGTTGGACACCTGGCCCAGGGCCAGGGCCGCCAGCATGCCGGGCGCGCCGCAGGCCTGGGCCACGGCCAGGAACGCCGTGTACATCGCACCGATGTGCGCGGCACCTGGCGCACGGGAGAGAGAGGGTGTGCGTGTGTGGTGGGGGGGGGGAGAGGGGTGTCAATATTTTGATGGAGGAAACATATTGTTTCCTGTGTCCGCGAAGAAGGCAGACCCTGGAGAATGGACCCCAGCAGCCACGCATGCCCAGTTGTGGCAACGGCTCGTGCGCTGCGACCATCGGGCCACCCCATCATCGACCCCACCCCGGGG